AAATGCACATATCTATTTGTGACATGATATACCATGTGTGTGTGAAGTTTGAACTTGATCAATCCAGACATGTTTGAATTTATTAAAACAAAATAGCCGCCAGTCGGCCATTTCAAACCAGATCCAAAAAAAAAATGACGTGCATCAAGGTCCTATTATGTTTAATGTATGTACCAAATTTGAACGAAATCCGTCCATGCATAACTGAGATCCGGGTCCGGAATGGTGAAAATGTGTGATTTTGATGCATTTTCGGCCTTAAAATGGCCGCTATTCGGCTATCGTTAATCGGATCAAGAAAAAAATGCATGTGCATATGTCTCATATAATGTGTGATGTATGAGTGAAGTTTGAACTTAATCGGTCCATGCATGTTCGAGATACAGGTGATCACGGACGGCCGGACGCACACACGCACGCACAAAACATAAGTCCCCGTTTTCGGACTACGTCCGAACGGGGACTAAAAATATTTATTGTTATAGGGGATCATTAGGGAGGGAGAGACGGAGGTGTGTGGGTATGTGTGTGTGTGTGTGTGCGTTAATCTTGGCAATCTTATGGTATGACTGACTGTCCATTTGTGTCAATGACAGATTCCGCTGAATTTAAAAATCATAAAAAAGACACTGAAAACAAAAATCTATTTGAAAAAGATGGGGCCTATTTTATTTTTCACATTTGTTGCAAAAGTAAAAAGATAGTTGAGGCAAACCATGACAGAAAAAAAAAACACCTTTAGGTAAATATGACATTATGTAATAATTTACACATTAGAAGTATATCACAATTTCAATTTTATCAGCTTGATAATGTAATGATACAACTGCGAAAACTTATTTGGGCTGCAAGTATAAATACTCAAATGTACATGACTAGAGAGAGAGGCAACGGGCACATTGGGGTACCTCCTCCTCCATCAATTGTGTAATGCCAACTGTGAGTTAATCTGGCTAGGAAAACAAATACTCCAAACATGAAATCAGCCATCAATCAATCAATTATTTGACTAGCTACTCAGCCCTGTGCATTATTTATTGTAAATAATAGTTTGTGTAGTAGCCTGGTTGGTTCATACAGATACACACCAAAAATAAAATACAAAGCTGAATATAGCAAAAGGTGCCCAGCAAATGATTAAGTAGCAAGCAAGTCTTTAACTATTCTAGACTATCAGCCACATTAGAAAATTCACCTTGTGCTGGTACAAGTTTTCAATAACCATCCATATAAAACCACCGGGTAATGGAATTGTTACAACCTCTTTTTAAAAATGACAAACCAAGAGATATGTAAACGACTTTGTTGAGATCAATAGAACATGAAAATATGGTACATATACAGAAATCAGTAAATTTGATCAAACTTTTTTTTCCCAATTGCTGAAATTATAAAATACATCTGTATGCCTAGGTGATTGTGGACCAATGATATCCAAAAATCCATGTATTGTGCATCAAATCCCATGTGTTTTTCTCACTCACCAATACAATACAACTAAATGAGTGGATGACTGCAGAAAATAAATAGCTTTGAAGTCTTTACGATTTTTCAGCTGCTAAAGTCGTAATGTTTTGACATGTGCGTAAGAAAGATTATCATGTACAAATAATTTGAAAATGTACTGCATAACTGTAGAGATTAACTACCACCACATATAGCGTTCAAACACCAATGCAGCACTTACCGAGTAAATTTGCTAGTCAGTTGGAGACTGCTTTTAAAATTGTAACAGCACTACACAAGTTCTTTCTATCAACAGAATCAAACTCGTTGTAACCCATATTTGCGTTCGTTATAAAAAAATAAAAAAACAATTGTTTCGAAAGTATGAAACAAATTCATACATACAGTGTACGTTTGTCCAAAGGAATATTTACATTTCAGTGCAAAGGGTTTAGTCACCCAGGGGTAACAGGAGTACAGATACACAATAATTTCACTGTTTTGAGCCTAAAAAGGATATTGAATATAGTTCATATCATGAAGTTCCCTGTCTGGTACAAACTTACAAGTTATTGATGCAATGGTTTATAGTGTTCATATGCAACCTTGTAAGCGCCATAATCCAATACTTGATGATTGTCTGAAAACAGCATTGTTAACTGAGACAATTTGTTTGCTAACATGCTACATTGGCGCCTGCATGAACACTACGTTCAGCGGTAGTAAATTAAAATGCAGCATTCTGCTAAAACGTGAATCATATAATATTAATCACCAAGATGACATTGACATAATATTCAGTATGGAATGTATTAAAAGGGCAGGAACTAAGTTTTTTGGGCCAAATTTGTCATTCACGTCATACAGAACAATGATTCATCCATCTTGAAGCAAACTATCATAGTGTGTTATACATAACGTGAACACAATGGGCCAGGGATCCATAGAGGTAAGCCTCTGGAAAATCAAAATAGTCACTTATCATTGACTTTGAAACGATAATGTGGCATCAAGCTCCCATATATATATATTGTATCAGGCACAGATGTGAAAAAATTCTGTACACACTGCTTCAAAAAGCTGGCAACTTATTTATGCATACTTTCTAACCGTTATATTTCACAGAATAGCTTATGACTAATAATTTACAAATCTTGAATTGAAAGTGTGCATCTTAAAGTCAAAGAACCAATACATACATACACATACAAGTTAGTGACTGGTTCTACTCAAACTTACAGTTGATGTAAAACCTCTGATCTAGTTACACAGATCAAATGACTGCTCACTCTTGGAATAGTATAATGTCAATGTTGACAGAGGAAGTAGGGAGAGAATACAAAAGTATATACATGTTTTAGAGTGCGCAGAGTAGAGGGACAATCAATTTCACCTGTAATATTAAGAACTTTCATTTTTGCAAATTTTGAGTGGATGAATATTGCTGAATTTTTAGCAGAAAAAATTTCACTGGGACAGCAGGTCACAGTGGCTTTAAAATTCAATCTCCATCAACAGCTATCAAATTGAGCAAATCCCCAAATTTCTGAAAATTAGATGGTTTACCATACAATGGTGAACATTTAATGACAAGTAGAGATGAAATTGGTGATTGTGATGATGAGAATGGCAGTGAAATGAAATTTGGAGAACAAAGTAACCATGGCAATACAATCTTAAAGAGTGATATTGTCATAGAAATTCTAAATATCTGTCTTAATTAAGCTGAATTACTTCATTCTGGCAAATCCCAAAACGGTTATTTCTTGTAAAACATAAATAAATACTAGATATCCTGCCCATACAAATTGATTAAAGTTAAAGTTGCATAATCAAGGTACAGATTGATTGAATGAATGAATGAAAACTTGCACAATATAGCCTTATCACTTTAATTTTCAAAATGTAAAATGTATTTAAGCTTGTACCACTGTAGAAACTTATAAATTTACAATCTGGAATATCACAAGTGTTGTCCAAGTTTCATGTACAAGCACTACCCACATAGTAATTACAACATATCCCATCACAAGCAGCAATGCTATATGTTATCTGTTCATACCACACACTCAAGTTGTATGCTCTGTACAAGCTTGACATCATAGCAGATGAGCTCTCAAATGGTTTTAGATGACGACTTCTTATCATCTATCTCCATCTTACCGCAGTGTGCAGTCTTTACGAGTCAAGTCCACCGAGGATCAGTTTGACTTCACGGAATGTGCTGCCAATCTTTCCAACTAGATGCTGCTTTTGTTCTATAATATATCTAATATTTACTAAGCTATCATAACATTTCTTGCATTTGTTGTACCTGTAATAAATAAAGGAAATTGAAAAATGGTGAACATGGAAATGCTAGGAGAGTAAACACTGATATGACATTCACTATTTCCAAATAAACAAACCATGCATGGCACAGTCCCCGTTAGTTATAAAATTTAAGATATATAGTTTTGTTTATAATAATATAGCTAGAATCTAACCATGTCAGGAATATGATTTTTTAACATTAAAATGATTGACATTTGTATCTGATCGTCAAACAAGTACTTGTCCATATGGAGCAGCATTCAAAATCAGCCATTTTGAATACATGTATAAATATAACATGATGTATAACGAATAT